GCTGGTTTCGGCACCACCGAGGGTCCCATTCCTCGATACATGGCCGTCTCCGGCGCCGGGAGGCGCCGGGAAAATCAGCTACGTGAGCTGATTCTCAAACCCCCCCCTTTGCTATCCCCCCCTTTCGCCCGACCCGAGCATCTTTCTGCGCCCATGCCCGCCATTGCCCCCCCCCCCCCACGAAGCAAGGCGCGGTTGTCATCTGCCCTGGGTTCGAAAGATGGCCCTCATGATAGCCGCTCCGGCCCGCAGGAGGGGGCAGAGAGTGGGGAGGCTCCGCTGCACCTGGGTCTGGTACGAGGCCGCGCTCGCTGACGGGAGGACCACCTCGACCGGCCTCAGGAGGCTTCCGCCCGGGAATGGCCTCCCCTCGCCCGCCAGGCCCCCCAAAAGTCGGACGAAGGAGAAGCGACGCCACCGCGTCCGCCAGGGGGGCCACCGCCGGTGAGGGGGTCCGCGAAGTTTCCCCGAGCTGGGAAGATGGTGGACGTCTCGAGTGAGGGGGGGGGGCACCACACCACGAGGAGGACCCTCCCTGGCGCCTCGCGCTGGTGGTGGTGTGGCCTGCCCCTGTTCCTAGGAAGCTACGCCCCCGAAGCTCCCAAGGAGCTTGCAAGGAGGCCCCTGGGTCTCCAGGGGTGTCTCCTTCAGCTGGATCATTAAGAACCCAAGACGGCCCAGGCACTCGCCAAGATGTCCCGAGAGGGCTCCCAGAGGATCCCAAGAAATTCCAGGAGGGCCCAAGTGGCTCCAGCTGACCCCAAGACGGCCCAGCATTCAGCCCACAAGAGAGCCCCACCAGGAGCCCTTTGCTCCTCGAATCGGCCCCAAATCTTGAGAATTCATGTTGCAATTCGCGATTATCCAACAATCCTCGGTTTCCGCTTAAGGTGGCATTTAGAAGACCTCGGAGAGGCCAAACGGGGTCCGACGGCGTTTCAACAGGGGCGCGTAAGAGGGTCCCAAGATATTCCGGGACTGCCCCAAGAGCGCCCCGCGAGGACCCTGGAGGGCGGCCAGATGAGCCCAAGACGGTCCGAGATGGCCCCCAAACCCCCAAGGCGGTTCCAGGATGGCCCGGGACGGCCCCACGAGAGAGAGCCCCCAGACGGAGGGAGATGAGGGCGGATGAGCAGGATGAGGGAGAATTGTGTTCCAGCGAGCTTCCGCCATAGTATTCTCAGCAACGAGAGTTACGAGGAAAGGGGGCGAGGAGGAAGAGGGGGACAAGTACGAAGGGAAGGATGAGGAGAAATAGGTGGGTGAGGTCCAAGTGGAATGCGCAGGTTGAGGAAGAGGATATTCAGTCCTCGAGGGAGGGGGATGGAGAGGGACGAGAAATAGGAGGAGATAGCGGCCCGAAGGCTTCTGAAAACCGCTTCGGGATCCCTCCCCGAAACGATCCCACGCCTACCCGCAGTCGGCCCGAAGACCTGAACAAAGGGCCCACCACAGGTGCAGAAGCAGGAATGAGGTCGAGGAGGAGGACAACAACGAGCAGGGGCAGGAGGATGAACCAGAGCATGCGAAGCCAGGGCATGGATGGGCGGACCGCGAGTAGGGCCAGCCATCGGCAGCCATGGGGCCGGGAGGGGGAGAATGAACGTGTCAGCGGCAGCGAGAGGGGCGAGGGGGCGGGATCGGACGTGGGGAGGGGGGGGGAGGGAGGGGGAGTCGTGGGTGTCGCGGGTGGATGAAATGAAAGAAGCCAGGGGAGAGGAGGGAGAGGAGGAGGAGGAGGAGGAGGAGGAGGAGGAGGAGGAGAGGAGGAGGAGGAGGAGGTGGGCGGGGGGGGTGATAAGGCGACGCCACATGGCCGCAAGTCTCACAGCCACGCCCGCCAAACTTCACGAAGGATCTCCATGAACGCCTTTGCAAATGCATGTGACACGATGCGAGATCTCCAGGCCAAAACCTGAACGCACTGCTTTACGGACATGCATATTCGATTCGTGCCCATACGTTCTCATTCAGCCCCGTGGGTCCGACCCACCAGAAGGCGATTCCAAGAGGGATCCAAAACAGCAGCCCTGACGTTCCAAAACCACAGTCAGCCACAGTTTTTACGCGTCCTCTTTTGCATCATTCCCCTCGGCCCAGTACGACCTCACGAGGGCTTCCGATGGCCCCACGGCTGCCAAAGAGAGACTCCAGGAGCGCCTCCTGCGACCCCTACTATGGCTCAACAGGGCCTCATGTGGAGTTCAAGACGGCACAATCCAGTTCCCAGACGGCACCCATACGGTCCAACGACTGTCCTGAAAGGCGTTGCCGCAGCAGCGTTTGTCCCACCGCTCTGCCGGGAGGAGGAAGCGAATGGAGATGGAGGAGGGGGATATGGGGGAGGCAAGGCAGGATGAAGAGGATATGGCAGGGGAGCAGGAGGAGGAGGAGGGGGGAGACTGAGGTGGTATCAAGGAGGAGGAGGAGGAGGAGGAGGAGGAGGAGGAGGAGGAGGAGGTCTTGTGGAGGCACGGATCTCCCACTGGTTCCCTTATTTGGTTACCGGTCTCGTTAACCTTCTTCGGTCTTGATCGTTGCGGGGGGCTGAGGCGGTGCAACAGGAGGGCGAGTGGGAGTAGTTGGAGGAGGTGGACGAGGAGGAAGAGGGGGAGTCCCAGGGTCCAGGACCCCTTTCCTTCATGGCGACCTGTCCTCTGGGCAAGTGCAGCGCCAACGCCGCAAGCCTTGGCTTCTCTGTTGACGCGCTGGCAACTTTGCTGTCCAGTTGACCCGCAGTCTCTACGCCTCATTGCGCAACGGCTGAACACATGCCTCGTGAAGCGCGGCGACGCCAGATACTGTACACGTGCAATACACATCGTGATATTCAAGTCGTTGGTGAGCACTTTGACATACAGGGTCGGGTCGGAGGAGAAGATGCTCGAAGACCTGTCGGCGTAGCCTGGCTGAGCTGCGCCTGCTCTTGGCCAGGAGAGGAGTTCTATGTGAAGGCGTCCAGCCCTTGCCGCAGGTCCCACTGCCCCCGGCATCGGGGGATTCCTCGTTACTGTCGTCGTCATCTTGCTGCTCCCCTTCGTCCTCATCATTCTGGGGACTCTTGGTGCCCTCTTGGAGATCATGTTCGGACCGTTTATAGCCCTTCCCCCTTCCCCTCGTTGATCATCACGCGTTCCGTTAAGGCTGTCTTGAGTCCTCTCAAGACAATTCCTGTGCATGTTTGCTGCCCGTTTGGAGCCTACCAGAGGTTCTTGGAACCTGTTCAGGGCACTCGTGGAGTAATGGTTGGCACTCTTCAGAGTTTTCAGGCGACACAGAAGCATTCGGTACCGTTGCGGACAATGTAACAACGAATTCGTATCTTGGAAGCATGGTCCCCTCGCGTTTTACCTGGGATCGTGGCCTTGGAACCGCAATTCCTGACTTGTTTTCACACGGGATCGCAGCACTGAGAGCTTAATTTGTTTGATGTTACACGGGGTCGTGGCCCTGAGAGCGCGGATCCATGACAAGGTACACGGGATCCTGGCCTTGGGAGCGCTGATTTTTCTTGTGATCTATTTGGGATCATGGTCTTGTGAGCGTGGATCTTTTGCAAAGTTTCACGGGTTGTGGTTTTGGGAGTGCGGATTCCGTGTAGTGCATACAGTGGGAGCGCGCATCAAGAAACCATATGTTTTCGTCAGGGTATCTTGGGTTTCTTCGTTCCTCGCGCTGCGCGGTGACTTCCCGCAGCCGATGAAGCAGCTGCTGCGTTCAGGGTGCTCCAGGTTTCCCCTCGGGTGCACCTCGCGCGCGGGTTCTCAGGGTTGGGTTTCCCTGCGAGTGTTTCTTGCGGCCGCGCCCGCAATGTACGGCTCGTAGGAGGCACGACACGGGACCGCCCCCCCAACCCTTGGGGTGCGGCGGTGGGGCGCTCTGTGGAGGCCGCGGGGCGACCCACTTTCCAGCGCAACTTCTCCAGCGCAGCCAGAAGGAATCCATCTTCCTCCTCCTCCTCCTCCACAACGCCCTGCTCTCCTTCTTTCTCATCCTCCTGTCTCTTATCCTCCTCCTCCTCCTCCTCCTCCTCCTCCTCCTCCTCCACAACGCCCTGCTCTCCCTCCTTCTCATCCTCCTGTATCTGCTCCTGCTGCTGCTGCTGCTGCTCCTCCTCCTCCTCCTCCTCCACTTCTCTTCCGTGCCCCTGGGGGCAGAGAACAGCCTGATTGCGCTGGATATTGCTGCATCCACCCTCTCACGCCACAGCAACACCGAGGCCAGGGCATCGTGGCAGCTCACGGCCTGGAGGCCCCCCCCCCGCAGAGGGGCCCGCGGATATGCGCGTAATCGTTTTTTATTGTCCGATTTTGATGGCCCACCCGACTCGGGGAGTTTGTCGGTGGCGCGCCCAGCGGAGTCGCAAGAGGGGAGGCTCAGAGGGCCTCCAGCCCTCTGAGCAGCTTTCTGAGCGCCCTCTGAAGCCACGGAAGTCCACTCCTGCGAGGCACCGGCGAGAAGACCGAGGCGAGGTGAACGAGGAGGAGGAGGAGGAGGAGGAGGAGGAGGAGGAGGCCTCTGAAGGCCCGGTGGCTCGCCACTGAGCGCCCTCTGAAGGCTGGAGGGCTTCTGAGAAGCCCCGCCGGCTTGGAGAAGGCCTGCCCCATCTGCCCTCCCCCCTGGGCGCGCCGCCGACTGATTGATCCGGGATGTGAGATTTACAGCCTCGCGGCCCGCCAACTGGCCGCGCTAGCACACGCGTGCGGCATCCGCAGGGCCATGTCTGCAGGAGCGCCTTCCCGCGGCGAATGACGGCTGCTGTAGGCGGGACTGGCGTTGGATCGTAGCTGCTTCCTTTTCTCGGGTGTTGCTGGAAGTACCCCTGTCCCAGGGTACCCCCCAGGATTCCCGGGGTGGCCCAGGCGGCCTCCAGGGCACCCCCCACGAGGCCCAGAGGACCCTGCAGGGGCTCCAAAATGGAGCGAACCGCTGGGGGCACCTTGGGCCAGGAGCACTTCTGGCAACACCCGATGGTTTTCCCCTCTGGCCTCACACCCTCTCGCCCCTCGTGTCCGGAGTTGTTGACCTGCTTCCCCTCCTCCGCCTTCGGCCGTCTGCCTCCTCCGCCCTCCTCATCTTCTTCCTCCTCCTCATTCTCCTCCTCCTCCTCCTCCTCCTTTTCCTCCTCCTCCTCCTCCTCCTCCTCCTCCTCCTCTTCATCCTTCTCCTCCCTAATACCACCTCAGTCTCCTCCCCGTCCCCCTCCTCCCTCTCTTTTCACCTCCTCGCCCATGGTCTTGTTCTCGTCCTCCGTCCCCTCCGCCCGCCCGTCCCGTGTATGGCTCGAGCCCCGCGCGCGGGCCTCCAGGGGCCGAGGGGGCGCGCGGCTGGTGCTCCCGAGCGGGGCGCGCCTGTCTCACCAGCATCTGAACAGGCGCGGCCCCCGGATGCCGAGCACCGAGCAAGAGCCCGAAGAACGACAGGATGAGGGAGGGGCTGCTTTGCTCACGCCCCTCGCCCGCGTACCCGTCTCTTCCTGTTCCTCTTGTCTTCGATGCTCGTTTCGGGGACCTTCCTGGAGCCCACCTAACGGATCTGTTCGACCCCAGTTCGACTCAAGTTCGACTCAAGTTCGACTCAGGTTCGACTCAGGTTCGACTCAGGTTCGACTCAGGGTCGACTCAGGGTCGACCCAAATCGACTGACGTTCGACGCAGCTTCGACGCACGATTGGAGCGAGTGGCTCCAGGAGGGTCCCCAGAACGAGCATCCAACTTGTCACTCCCTCGTGTCCCTTCCGGAATCGCCTCCGAGAATGGCGAGCACGGACCCGTGCGATCTCCTGGCAGCTCGCAGGCCGGCGCCCTGCCTCCCTCGCTATTGCAAAATAAAAATCAGTAAACCGCTGTGATGTATTCACCCCTCCTGGGACTTTGCTGTGTTCTTGGAGCTACACTGTCAATGCCGCGCTTTCCTGTGGCTTTGCTGCGTTCCTGCTCGCAACGCGCACCGCCAGAGGCGGCGGAGAGCTTGAGAGACCCACCTGCCAACAAAGAGAAAACGCGCCGGCGAGCGCTCGGTTCACCCGCGGCCTGCCGGCAGGCGCAGCGTCGCTTGTTCGGAGGTTGATAGTCCTCCTATACCCTGACACGTCGATCAGTGAATTGGCCGTTTTCGGTTCGCGAGAGGGCGTCGCGGCCGTCATTTATGCGGGTCCAGGTCCGTTGGTTTCGGTCCCAGGCCGTTGTCGCCAAGGGGGGGGGGTTTACGAAAGGCAGGCCTGTCCACCGCCGACCTGTGGGCGGGCCCCCCTCCTAGCGGTGGACGGCTGGGCGACATCGGCTGGCTTCCGCAGCAGGCCAGCGCCAGGCGGCCGGCGACGCGTGGACGGGCTCTTTCTGGAGGCCACAACGGACGCACGCGCCCAGCTATGCACATGAACACGGGCCCCTCGATCCGCGAGACCGGCCGCGTTATACGAACATTTGCACACTGCGTACCCTCGAAACCAGCGTGGGTTCATGTACGTGTACACTCTAGGCGATGCTTAAGAAAACCCAAGTTTTCGGCCAGAGTCTCGATTATTCTTAATGTTTCAATGTAAATCCCAAGATTTGAATAGACATTCTGGGCTTGTATTCAAATTCTGAGACTATGAGTTTCTTAACCCATGATTTCTAAAGCATTTCGCAGGGTGTACGTCCTTCTTTCGCTCCCGACTCCTCGGCGGCGGGGCGCCCCCGCTGGAGCCGCCGGGGGCCGCCATGGCCGCAGGCGGCAGCAGGGGGGGGAGGCTCCTCCGCCCCCCTCGGTCCGCCGCTCGCGGCCACTCCGCGCCCCGCCCCCCCCCGTTCCCCTTTCGAAGAGGAGGGGGGATCAGGAGGGGACAAAGACACAACACACACAGACGCAAGTAATCGTCGATTCCCCCGAAAATATCGGGGAGAACATGGGCAGTGAGGGGGGAAGACAGACACGCAAAACAGATGGGAACGTATGGGGGGATTCTTTGACTTGTGTGTATCTATTGAATCGCTTCGCTCGTTCCGCCGGCCCATGTTGCGCACCGCGGTGGCCTGGCCGAGAGGTCGTAGACAGTGAGGAGCTGCAGGGAGCGGCGGCCTCAAAATGTTTCCGGAGGCTCTCAAGAGGGCTTCAAAACGGCTTCAGGGCGCCCCAAGACGGCCCAATGAGAGCCTCGGTGCGAGGAGGAGGAGGCGAGAATGAGGAGGAGGAAGGTGGACGAGCATGAGGAGGAGGAGGAGGAGGAGGCCTCTCGATGGCTTCTGCAAGCATTGTGGGGCCAAACTTGGTCGTGGAAAAGGTGCCTCCGTGGGGCGTCTTGGGAGCCTCTTCGAAGCTTCTTGGGAGCCTTTGGGGGGCCTCTTGGGGCCTCTTGGAGCCTTTTGGGGGCCTCCGCGGGCCTCTTGAAGGCGTGTTGGCGGCCTCTTGGAGCCTCCTGGGGACCTCTCCGGGCCAAAAGCTCGAAATGTCCGTTCGGGTGCCTGGGCTCGCTTTTAGAGCCGTCTTGGAGGCGTGTTGGGCCATTTGGGAGGTCTTTGGGACTGTCTTGGGGCCCTCTTTGGCCCTCTTGGGCTTACCTTGGTGGCTTGTTGGGCCGTCTTAGGGCGATCTTGGGGGCCTCTTGGGCACGTTTGGACGCTGTGAACCCCAGATGTCGCATATGCGAAAAATGTACGTGTCCCCTAGGGAATGGGACGATATTTGCTTGTTGGAGCCCTCTTGGCGAGCCTCTTGAGGCTCTCTTGGGGCTTCTCGGCGGCCTCGAGGGCCGTATGAAGGCCATCTTGGGCGTCTTGGACCGCTCGTTCGGTGACTCGGAGCACTTTTGGGCTGTCTTGGAGGCCTCTTGGGGCCCTCTTGGCGCGCTCTGGGGGGGCTCAGAGATCGCACCCAGGAGAAACACCATCTCTGAGTAGCAGTTTCCAGGCTGCGGTCGGGCGGCGGTCGGGGTACTTTTCGCCGGGTGACCCCCAGGGGCCGCCCCGCGCGCGCGAATTAGAAATATTGTTAACCAGTTCTCGGAGATCTCAGCACGCCTCTGGCCCGTTGGGCTGGCGAATTTGCGTGTCCCAGGGCCCCTTCAGGGGGGGGATGGGGCAGGGTTTAAGTCGGGCCTGTCCCCCTGCAGGGGGATTTCCTACGAAAAATAAAAAATACAAACAGTTTGTCCACAAATAGTCTGGGGACTTTTTTGTATTTGTTTGACCTTTTGGGGGCATTTCTGGGGTATTTTTATTTTTTCGTCGAACATCCCCCTGTAGGTGGACACGCCCGACATAAGGCAGGGTGCCGAAAGGCAGCGGGGCGCGCCTGGCGCCGCCATTCCCGGATTCCCGGTGGGGCGGGGTGCGCCACGGTGCGCTCGAGAGGCAACGGGCCGCGTCAGTTGCAACGACGGGTGAGAAATTTGCCAGGGGGGGACTCGTCGACTCCCAGTCGCGCAGCCGACGCCGTCCGATCGAGGCCCGGCTGCGGAGCGTGCGTCTCCGCTGCCGGGGGCTTCTCGCGCACCCGTCGGCGACGAAGTGCCAATTCTGGGTCAACGTCCCGCCCCTGGGCCAGTCCTCCTCGATCGTTTCCCCTCGACACAGCTACAAGCCGGTCGTCGAAAGTAGGCATTCTTGGATGTCCAAATCCTCATCTATTTTAGGCGCCTTCCTACTTCAAGAGTCGAGCGGCATTCCTTCTCTCCTCCTCTTCAGGGGGCGGGTGGAAGCCCAATCTGCTTCCAACGCCTTCCTACTTCATGTTTTTACCTACTTCTTCCGACCGGCGTGTACGCACGCGAAGCCGAAAGAGAGTTGTGGAGCAGTCCGCCGGGCGTCGGCCGGCTCCCCGAGCGAGCGCCGTCCGCGCCCGGCGCCCCGCGCACGCGTGGCGCGTCGCCTGTTATGAGCAGCAGGGCCGGCTGGCCCTTCGCTCGCTCGGCTGCTGGTTTCGCGTTGGTCCGTGGCCCCGAAGGTAGCAGCAGTGGGCTCGGGGGCGGCCAAGAGGGGGGTGATGACTAGGGGGGGGTGGATATCATGGCGTGGGCCACGACATTTACCCGGATTTCATGGCGCCTCTTCTTATTTCACTTCATTACGTCCCTGGCCCCCCCGCTGGGCCGCGCACGTGCCGCCGGTCATGATTTGCACCCCCCCTCTTCGAACCCCCCCTCTTGGCCGCTCCCGAAAGGTAGCAGCAGTGGACAGCGGGTTCTTATCTCGGCGCTCGCGCGCGATGTCGACGCTTCGGTTCACGGCGCGCGTCGTCGGCACAGTCTTTTCTCGCGGGGCTCGTGCATGCATCGGCTCTGTTTGGCATCACTCCGTACTCGTTCTATGCGGGCGGATGTGACCCCATTCGTGACTGACTCGTTTGACCCGGGATGTGCCCCGACGTCGACCTGTTGCCGCAGTGGTCAAAAAGATGTATGGGGACTGCCCTGCGCACGAACACACCCACACACACACACACACACGCACGCGCACATACACATAGACATACACATACACTTATGCCTACACGTACACGTATACATAGACATTCACCTACACGTACACGTACACATGGACATGCACACATACATAGACATACCCATACATATACACATACGCATCCGTATATACATACACACATACACACATACACAATCATACGCACTCATACACAACGTCCTTGTCGACGCAAGGTCTCCAGTACTCTGGCCGCGTTCCGTGGCGAGTTATTCTCTGCGTGCCTACATGTAGTGATGCCAGAGGCTGGCTTCCTTGTCCGCCCCCTCTCCGTTTGATGTCAGGTGTCAATTCTCGTCGGTCCTTTTGAGTCCCTAGCTGCCCCGAAGGGCGGGCTGCCGTTTCAGCCGCGAGTCTCCCCACACTTAGACGATGTGCAAGGATAGGGGGCCACATGCGAACCCTACCCCTACCCCCCACGATTTCTGAGGGGGAGGGTGGGGTTCACTTCGTTCGGGAGCTCCCGAGCGAAGTGAACCCCACCCCCCCCTCAGAAATCGTGGGGGGTAGGGGTAGGGGTAGGGTTCGCATCTGGCCCCCTAAAGGATCAGGCGAACCCCACCGGGAGGCTTGGCGCACCCGGGCCGGCTCTTCACGCCCGGCCCGGTCGTGTGCTCGGTGCTCTCCGCCGTCCCGCCGCTCCGCCGACAGTGGGTCTTCGCGCGGGCGGTCTGTGAACCTGCGCTTAGCGCAACGGTGCCAACCGGCCAGCGCACGTCGGGCCGTCCCCCTCTCACGTCACGCGCATGCATTCGTACTTCCCCTGACCCTCGTCGTCTTCTTCGCCCTCCGCCTCCAGTTCCGGCTCTGCTCCGCCCATGGACCTCCATTTCGCTTCCACCCCCCCGTCCACCTCTTCGTCCTCCTTCCCTTGGCACGCCGACTCGTTTCTCCTCTCTGGCAGCATTAGGTCCATGTCGTAGCTTTTGGGCAGTCCCGCCACCAGCGCCAGACGCCTGCCGCGGCCTGCGCTTCTTCTCTCTGGGAGATCCCGGGTGGGGGCCTGCATGGATCCACCCCTCGATCCCAGGCTGGGCTAGACCAGAGCCGCATCTCGGATGCATCGGAGATGCGGCGCGAGTTGTTGGCTAGATTTGTCTCGGGGTTGGACACAACCCCCACCCTGACACGTCGATCAGTAAATTGTTCGTTTTCGGTTCTCGAGAGGGCGCCGCGGCCGTCATTTTCCAGGCTTGCGCCCGCCAGGTTTGGGCCGAGGTCGTTTTCACTAAACCACGTTATGCTAAAGGGGGTTCTGTCCATCCCCGAGTGTCCATCCCGACATCGCTTGCGCATCGACGGTGCATCGGCGATGACAGCGCCTGGCAGGTCCAAGCTTGAGCCAGGAAGGTATCGATGCGAACATGTACCGATACCAGTGAGCGCTTGTCCCGCGCCCGCGTTCCAGCGTCCCTGTGTGCGCCCGGCTGGGCGCAGGAAGGGGGCGGGAAGAGGGAGGGGGCAACATCAGCATGTCGGCTCTCCGACCCCATGGAATGTTGCCGAGCGGGATTTCCAAATGCACATAGCGAGGCCCCCACCTGTGTGATCTTCCGCTCGAACGTTTTCATGGGCATTCGCGGCATCTTCCGTTCTGTCGGTGGAGTTTGGCGGCCGCTTCGGGCCCGTGGACGCGGCTGCGCTGCAGGGCCCGGGGCATCTCGGTCACCTGGGGGCTGCGATGAGATATAGTCCGCCTCAGGTCTCCGGCGTGTCTCGTTCTCGCCATGTGCTGTCTGGGCCAGGCATTCTGGGTGTTCACCATGCCCCCGCCAGGGTGGGAACACAGGAGAGGGTAGGATAACGAGGGCGGGCGTGAGTTGGAGTCGCTGGAAGCATGATATTTGTGATTTATTGCGTCATGTCGTAGTCTATTTCCTATTTCAAGCGCCCTCCTGGTTCGAGGGGCCTTGATTTTTAGTTCTGTATGCTGTTACTGAGGGCGGGCCGGAACCCAGTCTGCTTCCAGCGCCTTCCCTGTCTATGCTTGACGCCGTCTTGCTCCGCGTCTCCATCCGGCCGACGCTTACGCCGACCTCGAGACGAAGGAAGCATGTGTGCTATCCGCGGCACCTCTGATTCGATGTCTGTTCATGGGAGCCTTGGGCGGCGACATTGAAATCAGCTTTTCCTGCATGTGGACGGCGTGGGGGCTGCATTTGGCCCATCCTCCTGCTCCTCCCCTCCCCTCCTGTTCCCCCTCCCCCTCCTCGTTCTCCTAGCCCCCACGAATCCAGTCCAAGTCTGGTCCAAATCAAGTTCCAAATCAGGCCCACATTGGACAGTGCTGGGGGCCACGCAGGCTCCCATGGAACAGACACCAAACTCTGAGGTGCTCTTCCCCCCCCCCCCCCCCCAGGAGGGGCTTTGGGAGCTCGAGCGCCCAGGGGAGGGGACCTCGGCCGTGTGGGCCCCGGGGATCTGCGATGGGAGGATGCGGAAGCGACTCCAGCCACGCCGGCAGGGCCACCCCCGAGCGAGAAGGTTCACTCTGCACGAACGAAATGGGTACTCCAGATTTCGTAATAAAGGGAGGGGGGTCTCATTTCGGGGGGGGTCTCTTCCAGGCTATCTTGGAGGGCCTGGGGGGGTCTGGGGACGATGTTTTGGAGGGTTCTCTCACGGGGGAGGTCTGAAATGGCTTGTCTTGGAGGGTCCTGACCCCCTCCCTTTTATTACGAAATCTGGAGTACGGAACGAACGGGTGCAATGCCCAACAGCAGTTCCTGTTCATTTTGAACAGGGCTCGCTGTCCACGCCGCCGCGGCCTGTGCCCATTCGAGACAGGAGGCCGCCTGCCCAACAGCGGCCGCTGTTGGTTTGGGACAATAATTTGTTGTTGGGCATTGTACCCATCTTTTCCGTACCCATTCCGGGCGTCCAAATTCACGCTGCCTCCCGGAGCTTGAGATTTCAAGCAGTGACGAAGCGTCCTGGCGTGCCTCAGGCCTACCAAGCAATGCTCTAAGAACATTGTGAGGTTTGCACGGAATGTTCTTAGAACATTTCTGGTTGGGACTGTCCTGTTTCAGCGCATTGGGAATCTGTTCTAAGACCATTGTTTTTGTTCTTGGAACATTTCTGGGTTCTTAGAAAATCTCGTGGTAGGATTATAGGAATGCCAGGACGGTCGGTCCCTGCTCAGAGATTGGAGATGTCTTGAGCGAGGCTCTGGAAAACACAGCGCTGCCACGAAGACAGCCCGCTGTTCCTCGCGGTGGTGGTGCTGGTGCCGATCTCGCTGGTCGCACGCTGCTTCGAGGCGCAGCCCACCGTCATCGCGAACCTGGGATTGCTTATTTTCTGATCCCCAGGTTCTTCATCTCCCACCCCCCTGCTCCCCTGTCGTGAGATGTACCTTCATGCAGGGGTCCCCTATGCTGCTATTGCTCCTGGAAGTTTTTTGTTTGCAGCACTCCTGAGTTGGTATTCTGCTTGGGTAGATCACTGCTGCTCCACCTTCGCTTTCGCAGCCACGCCCTCCTTGGGTGATGCCAACTCCACGACTGTTGCCACTTGGCTGCGCGCCTTGGGGGGCAGAGGAGCGAGGTGCTGAAAGCACCCGAAGCAGACCTCGCCTCTGGGTGCGGCCACTTGCGCAACTGTCGCCACTCTTGTGAGCTCGGGGGGGTCAGCGGATCGCGGTGCTAAACGGACTAAATCTTGTGTGCGGCCAGTTGTGCAATTGTCGCCGCATCTGTGAGTTCCTTGGGGGTCAGCGCATCGCGGTGCTAAACGAACCCACACCAGACCTCACCTCCTTGGTCTTGCCAACTGCGAAACTGTCACGACTTCCCTAGCTCATGGGGTGTCCCACGGAGGTTTGGTGCGACTAGACTTTGTCTTTTGGGGTTTTTGCTTACTGCGCTGTGTTGAACTTTTGCCAGCTCCTTGGGGGGGTCCAGCGGGGTGCCAAACTGGATCTCGCTTCCTTGGGTGCTGCTACATGCAAGCTGGGTACGGTGCTAAACATGTCCTAAGTTCTTGCCTCCTTGCGTGTTGCAAATTGGGAGACGGTCGCAAGGGTCGTGAGCTCTCGGGGTGTCCAGCTTAGTGCGGCCCTTTCGCAATTGGTTGTCAGAAGTGTTCAGGTGAGCATGGAAGATTAATCGGAAACTGGAGCATACACATTACCAGTGGCGGGTGGTTTCTCAATCCCAGGACTTTCTTGAGGGTCGGGGACGACGTCGGGGTGGTGTGGTGTATACTTGTTTCCCCGCTTTCCTGGGGGAAACAGTGAAGAATGTATACACCAGGACCCCGTATACACCAGGATCTGATTCCTTGTGCGAGATTCAGTGTGAGGCCATACAAAGGCGTCGGTGTATAGAGTTCGATTCCCTAATGAAGTATGGGCTAGACTCTCGAAGTAGAAATTAAAGGGTACTTCTGATCCCTCACAACGGTGTTTTGTGGTGGATTCGTTGATCGTCGTTGCGTATGTTGAACGTGTTGCTTAAGTTCTTAATTACCACGTCGCATCATTACCACATGCTGTTCAGTCCACTGCAAATATATGTGATCGACATGTGCTATGTTGTGTACGTAATGCATGCGCGGGTTGCCCTCGATGTGGCTAATCTGACCTGGTTATTGATGCAGCCTCCGTGCAAGAAGCTTGCGCCAAACTCGCATAGTTATGTAAGGTTCTGCGGTGCATTTCTCGTCACGGTTCTATAGTCTATCATGTTTGACGGAGTGAATTCTGATATGCTTCAGTACAGTATTATGGTGTACCATGCATTGTTCAAGTCGGGATTTTACAGCAATGCGTGGTCCGTTGTGAGTGGGGAATAGTTTTAGTTGTCTTCGGTTGCATTGAGGCGCCATTCGGCCTGCTACAAGTGGGTCCATCTTGCGAGCGCCGTGGATCGCCTGAAGGTCATCCTGGAAGTACTTGGAGGCTTAGGAAGGTGGGAGACGATACATCGGCGACACCCCAACATACTTATATACTATATGTGCGTCGCCCATTCAGGGGCGACGTGCGCACCGAGAAGTCTTATATATGTGTCGCGGCGGGCGCTTTCTGGCCACACCGCTCGGGAAACGGTATACTACAAGATGGGTGTACTATATGTTCGGGTCGGACGCGCGCCTCCAAGGAGAACATATAGTGCCAGTATGTCTCTGTGCGCGCCAGACACATGGAGACAGACTGGCGTTCGGGTGCTGCTTTGTGGCGACGCGGCCGTGGGTTGCGATGGAGGCCTTCCAGGCGCCACGGTTCGTGGCCCGCAGAAGGCCCTTCGTGGCCCAAGAAGGCCCTGAAAGGGTCCGTGCATGGTCGGGCAGTCAAGCGGGGCTCTCGCGGCGTCTTCGGGCCGCATCGGGCCCGTTGTGGTCTACAGTGAAGACGTTGAGGCCAGGATCGCCTTGGCTTCAAGGGGGGCTGCGGTTCTCGGAACGCCCCTCAGTCAGGCGATCGCAAACATGGATTAAGTGGGCGTGGATTAGCGACGGGTCCCGTTATCATGGGTAATCGCGATTTCCGCAGCTGAAAAAGCGGCACCGGCCGCATTTTGGGGAGGGCACCTCCCCCGATCTATGGATTTGGCGACCGCGCGCCAAATCCCTGGATCGCTAATCCAAGTTTGCGCGCCCCCAACTCAGGTCCAGGGCAGGGAAACTGTTCGTGGTCGAGGCTCGCCGTGGCCAGAAACGCTCCTTTGTGTATGGCAGTTCCCCCTGTAGCACGAGGATTGTATCTTGGGGGGCGGTTGTGGTGCTCTTTGGACTCTCAGGGAGCCTGTTGCAGCGCTGGAAGGCAATGTCGGGGCAACCTTCAAGCCATCTAGTCAGGTGTTGTCGGAGGCGACCCTGGCCCAGCGTGACCCCAGCTTTGCCAAAGAGGCCAGGATGTCCTACATCATGCAGGCCCAGGATGAGGACACGCCGCTCCCGAGCGAGCATCCCAGAACACCCTCACAGCGTCATGGAACACTGGGGCGGCCGCGGCGTTGCCCGACACATCCTCGTGACATGTTAGTTCCCAGAGACTCCTGGTGCATCCCCATTCGAATTCTTGACGCTTTCCGTGTGCCCACCAGCCATTTCCCACTGTTCTATTGTTGTCTCTCTCTTTTTGTTGTTTCTCTCTCTCTCTCTCGTGTGTGCAATTTAGGCTCCTGCTCGTTAGCTGTAGCTTTGGACGGCGCGCGGTCCTTCCGTTTGCGCTCGCGAACAAAAGAAGTGCCCACCAGCCCAACAAAACACGATGCCCAGATGAGTTGCCTTGATCAGGGACGTGTAGGAGCAAACAGTGGAACAAAGAGGGGTGGCAGCCGTCACGCCGAATATCGGCAGCAGCCTGAGCAAGCCCAGGAGTCAACGATAGATGCCGCCGTGGATCTTTCAGTATGGGAGCCTCTTGGTAGTTCACTTGCGCCATATGTCGGCCTCTTGAAGCAATTCTGGAGGCCTTTGGGGCTCTCTCCCGCTCAGAAGCGAAGTGGCGAGAAGGCGAACACCATATGTTCTTCTTTGTGAAATGGAAGGGTTTCGGCATATCCAGAGCATCCTTGGGAGGCTCGGAGGACGCTCGAAGCCGTCTTGGTGTGCTCGTGAGGCCTTGCGGAGGCATGCTGGAAATTATCTCGAGCCATGATAGGGATGCCCTGACCAATCCTTGATGCCATCTCTCACTTTCTCGGGCCATCCTGGAGTGATCTTGGGCCATACCAGACGCTCCGACCTCTCGTGCGGGGCGGGGGAGGGTTCTAGACCCAGGGAGAGGGGATAGAGGGGGACAGGTAGACCCCTCCCCGAAGGGGAAGCAGGAGGTTCGAACACCGATCGGCGGCGCGCGAGGGGGGGAAGCGAGAAGGAGAAGACCCTCTTGGAAGGGCGCGGGACTTCCCAGAAGGCCTCGCCTTCTGAGAGGTGTTTGCTGACTTCGGAGAAGGCTTGAAACACTTTTCTCAGAAGGCCGGGGCACTTCCCAGCCTTCTGCGAGGTTGTTGCTGTCTTCGGGGGGGGGCTTAGAACACTTTTCTCAGAAGTCTGGGGTACTTCCCAGCCTCCTGAGAGGTTTTTGCTGTCTTCGGAGAAGGCTTCGAACACCTCTCGGAAGGCTGGGGTACTTCCGAGCCTTCTGAGAAGGACCGC